AAACAAATAATTGGAATTGGTAAAAATATCATTAATTTTCTTTCTATTTGCTACAAATACCTTGTGGTTTTCAAATTGAGCACATAATTTTAATGTTCTCTTATAGTCTTATTATTCGTAATGTTTTGAAATCGTATCATTTTTGCCTTTAGATTGTTGACCGTACAATCCTTAAAATTAATGACCTTGCAAGTGTGAGACACGTTTATGAGAGCTAGCACACAGTTTGGCCCAAAAAATGCATGTGTGTGACGCATACGATATCACAAAAAATGGATCTCACATATGGCATGTCATCGATTTACTGAATGGATTAGACATTCAATCAACTCAAAGTACAAATTGATACAATTTTAAAATCTCATAGTGCAATGTGGAAAAACTACATCTTGGCTCATTTCGAAAATCACCTCAAACCTAGGTAAAATGTAGTTAGCTCTATTTTTCACTATATTTAGTTGTGAAGTAGGCCTGGCAAATAGATTGTGTTCATATTGTTTTCATGTCATACCGATTATCTTAACGGGTCATGTTGTGTCAAACCTGTTATTTTAACCAGATCTTAACAAGTGAACCTCATAATAACTCGATTTGACAACAGGTTGTGTTGTTTCGTGTTGGATTAATGGGACATGAAATAAATTCTCGTGCCTAATGTTTAGATCTTGCAAACAATACCTTATTGAGTGACCTGATCACGACTCTACTCATTAACAAGCTCTTAAGGGTGACCCAATAACAACCTAACTCGTTAACAGGTTGACCTGAAACCTGTTATTTTCTTATCGTTTTTTGTCGAGTTAACACGTCGTATAAAATATAGTTCATAAAAGCGATATTGGAGAGAACTTGTAAAATCGAATACAATATAAAATGAGATTGCTTTTTAATCAAAAGGCACAGTGAACAAATGAAATAACTTTAGATAACTCTACCATGGTTTCAAACAGATCTATGTAATTAAAGTGAGCCAAAGTTAGATGACAACATCCACATGACCACACAAAAGGAATGGATTCTATTGACCAAAACTTAGCCCCCAACAAGCTAAAGTTGAAAGTTGAAACAGAAACTGTTGCATGTCTGTCATATTATATATACCACAATTCTCTTCTGATATAGGAAAAGTGAGAGTTCAAATGAGTCACACCGCCTACAAGGTCACAACATATTTGAATAGGATGATGTTATTCACACACTAATTTTTTTTTCACACACCCCTCTTAATTTTTGGTCATTGAATGAAATGAATTGAATAAGATCAAAGAATATAAATTAAGAAGAGGTGTGTGGATAGCTAACTCTTTGAATAAATAGACCCATAGATTATATGCCTGATGCAGAAACAGTACTGCATTGTCGCCGCATCCGCACTTTCAAAAGTATAAAGCGTCACAAACTCACAAACGTGTAAAGTGCTGGTGTTTTGCCCCCTCTCATTACATTTGGCACATCCTTTCTTTTTCTTTTTTCCATCACTATCCAAAAGGTTGCACCAATTATGCTGCCAAAGCTAGAGAATAATTCTCAGCCACAAACTCACAAACCCTTTGAAAAAAGATGTTTTTTTTTAGGGTCCGTCTGTTCTACTGTAAATTGTAATAGAACTTTCACATCTAAATGTTTTGATCATGATGCAGGGCTGGCTTTGCTGGGGTTTCATGAGAAAGTGGATGCTTTGTTGGACCGAGTATATATGTTTAGAACCTGCTGATGGGACCATGTAATACCCTATCGATCGGCATATATTGTGCTTCTGTACAAAGATTATATACCAGTTCAACATTTCTGTTCTTTTTTTGAATTATGAATGATTTAATCAAGAATCCATCCCCATGTCACCTCACTCTTATCAATTGTATAAGTCAGGAAGTTCCCATGTTATGAAGTTATATGATAGACATAGAATTCTTATCAAATTCATCAATTACATTCAGCTAATTACTTTTTAAAAGAAAGATTCTGGGGCAGTAAACCCAAATCCTAATTCAATCTTTTAAATCGGAAAACCCTAAAACCCTAAAGAAAAAAAAGAAAACCCCCATTAAGAATAAAAGATATCCGGTCGATATGTTACCTCGGTCTTATCAATTGCATAGTTCAGAAAGTTCCCGTGCTATTGAGTTAGGATGGAATTTAAGAATGATTCTCATGTAAAATTCATCAATTTATTTGAGCTAATTACTTTTAAACGAATTAGTTGTGGGACTGTAAACCTAAACCCTAATACAATCTTTAAAATATGAAAACAGTGAAACCCTAGTGATAAAACCCCTAATAAAGATATCTGGTCAGATCAGGGGACTCACTTGTTTATCAAAATGTGTCCTCCGATCATAACCGTATATAAAGTCACATGCTCTTGATCTGTTTGGCCTAGCTAGGTGACGAATTTGTTACCTGATCAGTGATCACAAAAACGATACTGCACACTGGCATGATTGTGTTCGTAGACAAAGGATATCCGAAGTGGATATGGATGGATGGATAAATATCACGAAACCATTGTATCGGACTAATAATTTTTTAGTTTGGTGAGTGCTGAGTATCATACGGAGAAAACTTCCAACCCAAAAGCAGATATATTGGAGGCCACCATCGTTTTAGTGGAGGGCCAGTACTCCCCACCTGGTCATGGAAATTTTGATCAAAATCTAGGTCCAGTATAGTTTACTTTCTTCTACACCATCAACAACTTAGCCAGCTACGGAAAAAAGATTTCGATGTCAATATAGCCATGTCTTGCGAGAATTGTGATTCAGAGAAAAACAAAGGGTAACTATTGCGTGTCTGTAAAGATACTTGCTGTGACGCAAGGATCTTGTAGCTTAGTTTGTTAAAAGCCTTCACCTTACACCTAAAGTTCCGAGTTTGAATTTTCCCTGTTGCAAAATTGCTCATCGTCCATTTTCTATAAGGACGTGTCATTATTTTATCTGCTGGGCAGTCGTCTTAAGCATCTTGATCTACTCAATGAATGGTTGAGATTGTTCGTTTGTTTTGTCACATGAAAAGAAAAGGCCTATCGATCAAATCTCATCATAAAAGAGAAGCCGCACGCAATTCCTTGTAATCCAATTCAATGTTCTATATGTGATACTTAGGAATAACTTTAACTTAATGGGGGGTTTTGAATGAACTGACCTCTTGATGCCTGCTACAACTTCCAAATAGCCTTTGTTGTTTTCTAGTGGCCTTTCTAGTGCAGCTGCAGCTTGTCAACGGATGGAAGAAATTTGTAGTGTGATGCCGACATATGTTTTAATATGGGTGAGTGACAAGGATGATAAAAGAACTTATAACTATATGAGTGTATAGGGTAACAACAGTGGTGTGCTGATCGTCACACCTGGAAAATTATTCGACCAATTGTTGCTGATAATACAAGGCCGTACGTTTTTTTATTTGTGTTTTACACGCACATTCTGTTCTGAGAGATAATTAGAGGAGAACAGATACTGAAAGAAAGAAGTTGATTTTGAGCTTTCTTCATACTTTAATTGGCGCAAGAAAGGAGCAAAAAGCTCTCTCTATATATAGCATGTGGACAATCCATGATGTAGAACCAGATACTTGTGATCTGAGTGTGGTAAAATCAATGAGCATTTGAAAACGTACGTCACGTTGTCCTGTTATCAAAGCGACAAGCATACACATGATTATATATACACTTTTAATCACCATCAATTATTATGGAGGAGTTTAATGGAAAATTGACTGAAATCATCGATATACAAATCTTGATTGCTGATAAAATGGTCGAATACATAAATCTCAATTATTGAAATGATCACTTTTTAATATTTAATTGATATGTTGTTAATATTTTATAAATTGCTCTTAAACAATAAGTGATCATTTCAACAATTGAAATTGCCCTCTTCCTTAAGTTTTGTCGGAATTGGATCATCTCTTGAGCTTGGGCTCAAGAGCCTCCTGACCAACACACAAGGACCGTTGGATTTTGATTAAACGGCTACAATTATTATAACTTTCAGAGGACCCTGTGTTTGTAGCCGTTGGATCAAAATCCAACGGTCCTTGTGTGTTGGTCAGGAAGCTCCTGAGCCCAAGTTTAGGAGAGGATCCAATTCCCGTTTCGTCATCCAAAAAATGTAGATGATCCAAATCATGCATCATGTTATGGTGCAATTGGCAAGAAAATATATTCCAACTTTTGATTCTTTTACATGTTAGGGACAATAAGTTTTGATATCAGTGGTAGAACATCATCCTCGTCTTGATGTGACATAATTGTGATTAACAAGTACAAGACCCATTAATTTATCTAGCATACTTGTGTTTGAAAACTTGTCGACCAATAGTATATCACAAGAAATATAACATAAGAAAATTGGTTAGATGAAGATTTTACAAATCTCAGTTACTGAAATAAACAAAATCTAATAATGATAATATATCAATCAAATATTAACGACATTATCAATTAAACATTAACGACATATTAATAAAATTCTCAAAAGTAATCATCTAAGTAACGACTGAAACGTATATTTTCCTCATTTCAACTAGCTTCCCTGATATAATTAAATATGGACACTAATAAACGAATGTGGATTACGCTAATTGACCAAAGTTGTGTCCACTCCGAGGAGCACTAATCATGTTCTTCAATTAAGAATCTTTAGACTTGAAGATCATGCAAGTAGTATAAAACGAAACTATGAAATTGTTTAATGTAAATTTCATGCGTCCAAGCAGAATAGCTACTAGTTAATGGTAATTGGTGTAGCCGTGTAGGGGCCAGAATAATCTGAAAGATGCTCAATGAAACTTTTAGTAAACAAGTTTGGTGCGTATAGCACATTGTTATAGTTTTGCACACATGATATGTAGGGGCCAGATTGTTATAGTTTCTACAAATCAATGTAGGGGCCACATTATGGATGCCGTCAGCACCAACTGTTCCCAATTAGGTTGCAGAGATGTTGAAATGCAAAAAAGAACTAAACGGCAAACTCATTATATATAGACCTATAGGGTTCTAAAACTAGTGAGCAACAAGAAGAGCTGTAAACTAAAAGCATGGATGGGAAGAAACTGGAGTACACAGGTGAGGAGGCATTGAAGGAGATTGAGAGGCTCACAGCCAAGGCTGGTAGGGTTCAGTTGAACATTTTGAAGGAGATCTTATCACGAAATTCGAAAACCGAATATTTGAGTAAGTATATGAAGGGATCAAAGGATGTATCAGCTTTTAAGCAATGTGTCCCAGTCGTTACTTACAAGGCCATTCAGCCTTACATCCAAAGGATTTCTAATGGCGAAGACTCTTCTCTCCTTACTGGCCACCCCATAACTGAAATGCTGTGCAGGTAGCTCTGCCTTTTCCTTTGTTTACAAGCTTTTCTATTTCTTTTTTATCAATTTTTTTGACACACTTGGCTTATTGCATTTGCAGTTCAGGAACTTCAGGAAGAGAGCCTAAGATGATGCCATCGATCGCTGAAGATCTGGATCGTAGAACATTTCTATATAATCTCATTATGCCGATTATGAACCAGTTAAATATTACAACTACTCTCTCCATTAATTTACTAACGTAACATTGTAACTATAGTATAGGGAACTGTTACTAGCACTAAAAACTAGTCCCTATGAACTTGTCTAAAGGAAATATATCTCTTGTGCTTTTATAAAGGAAAACGTGCAGAATTTTTTGGGGTCCCAGTAACAGTTTGCGTAACCCATCAATAGGATGTGTATGTATCTATCTTGATATGCAAAAGTGTATATATATACAGTTATGCCCATGTGTTTGATATTCTAACTGCAGGTATGTCCCTGGACTGGATGAGGGCAAGGCTATGTTCCTCTACTTTGTGAAGGCAGAAATGTCAACACCGTGCGGCTTACCAGCTCGAACGGTGCTTACCAGCTACTACAAGAGCAGCCACTTCAAGTGCCGTAGCCCTGACCCTTTTAACAATTGCACAAGTCCTGACCAGACCATTTTTTGCAATGACAGCAACCAAAGCATGTATTGCCAACTCCTCTCCGGCCTAGTCCACCGCCACCAAGTCCTGAGGCTTGGCGCCGTCTTTGCATCGGCCTTTCTACGAGCCATATCATTCCTAGAACGAAATTGGATCAACTTTTGCAATGACATACGTACCGGCCAATTAGACCCTTTAATCACAGATCCCGAATGCCGGTCATCAATGGCTCCCTTAATTTCTGTCCCTAACCCTAGTCTAGCCGATGAGATCAATGAAATTTGTAGCCTTCCATCATGGAAGGGAATTGTATGCCATCTTTGGCCTAAAGCGAAGTACATTGAGGCTGTGGTCACGGGGTCCATGGCACAATATATCCCAGCTCTAGAGTACTATAGTGACGGAAAACTTCCCTTGGTTTGCACCATGTATGCTTCCTCAGAGTGCTACTTTGGTGTCAACTTGAAGCCCTTGTCCGACCCTGCTGACGTGTCGTTTACCCTTTTGCCGAATATGGGGTATTTCGAATTCATACCGTTGGGAGAGAATGGGACTCGACTCATGAACATAGATGAAGATGAGGAGGTGCGTAGTGATAAACTTGTTGATTTGGTGCAAGTGAGGCTTGGCTGCTATTATGAACTGGTGGTCACCACCTTTGCTGGTAAACTTATATTAATTTTGTTTTAGCACTAGTTAACTTATTTCCTTTTATCCTAAAGTGCTTGTTTAGGAGTGCCTTTAGAGTGGGTAAAAGGATGCTTATGGTAGAAAAAGTTATAAGTGTTTTTGAGTTACAAAACCAATTTCTGTTTCTTACAAAAGCACTCCTAAACATACCCTAAGATTGTTCTGCACACAGCTAATTAACTGTTTTGAGTTTGATGAATGATTAATCAGGATTGAATCGTTATCGAATCGGCGATGTGCTCCAAGTGACTGGATTTCACAATAAAGCACCGCAATTTCGGTTCATCTGTAGGAGGAATGTTGTTCTCAGCATTGACACTGACAAAACTAATGAGGAGGACTTGCACAAGAGCGTTTCTGTAGCAAAAAAGTTGTTAGAACCCTTCAATGCTCTTCTTGTGGAGTACACTAGCTACGCGGATACATCATGTCTACCCGGCCACTACGTACTGTATTGGGAAATTATATATCATGGATCAATGGTGGACTCAACAGCCCCACTTGATGATAACGTGATGCAAGAATGCTGCATTGCTGTGGAAGAGGAACTTGACTACATCTATCGCCGGTGCCGCACATATGACAAGTCCATAGGGCCGCTTGAGATTCGGGTGGTGGAGCCTGGGACGTTTGACGCGTTGATGGACTATTTCATCAGCCAAGGGGGTTCGATCAATCAATATAAAACGCCGAGGTGCATCAAGTCGAATAAGGCGCTTAAGCTGCTTGATTCTAATGTCAAGGCATGTTTCTTTAGTCCAAGAGATCCTAAGTGGATCCCTTAGATCCAACGTGTGTTAATGATCATAGTCAAGATTAGAACTCTTTTTGTTAGCCTTTATTTTCCTGCTATGAACTAACAAAGGTTCTGCACCTATAAGCTGTTGGTGCAATAAGTTTAAATATGCATTTTGCAGACAATATATAATATGCACCTTAATTAATTTGATCATTGTATTCATGATTTACTTCGTTAGTTACTTGCTTCCATGAAACAGATCAATATAGTAGACCAAAATCAATGACCTGATATCAGTTCGTGCCAATGACACATGCATAAGAGCGGCCTCGAGCCAAAAAGGCTTCCCGATTTGTGAGGGTCAGGAGGATCGTCTATCGTAAGCAGCCTCACCTTTACTTTGCAAAGAGGTGGTTTTCACGATGCTAATGAAACATAAGGATTAGGACTAATTGTTATTTAGATCAAACTAAAACAAGTTCTGGGACAAGAGGGAGTGGATAAGCTGCAGAATCTCATTTATCAGCTAGACATGTTTCTCATTTCTTTGGTATGCCGCAGCTCTTGATTTTATTCAATGTGTACTTTAATTTGTAATGAGGTGGGAAGGAATTCAACCACAAAAAGTTGAGTTGTATTTGATCATGTTGAGCCATGTCAAAGCGACAAAATCATTGTTGTAGTATTGGAGGGAGCTAGGAATTCGACCACAAATGTATATATATATATATATACACACATATTAGAGGGGGAACTTTTATTAGCACTCCAAAAATCTCATTTGGCTCTCCTCATATGTATTTTTCTTTCTAAATATAGAAAGTTTCAAGTGTCAAATGAGATTTTTGGAGTACCAATAACAATTCTCATTAGAGGAAGAAAAATAAACATGCAGATTGATAGTGCACACATAATACAAGCCCCTTCTCTTTTGAGTGAAATATGTAAGACTATGGAGAATGCGTAGCATTTGCTACTGTAAAATGGGATCTTCCTATAAGAAGTCATTTTTAGATGATGCGCTAACATTGATCACAGCATAATTGGATACCTAGAGGCAGCAATCGATGGGCCATAGGTTAGGTTTTATCACGTACACAAAAAAAGCCTCCGAGAATTGTACTAACTAGTACGCATATTACTACTTGTCATGATCGATTGATCATTTTGGTCTTTGAATAATATGGTGCTCAATTCGTTAGTAGTTCGTAGTCGACAAAATGTGTAATTAGGATCATTTAAAAGAGGGAGAGAGAGATTTATATCCTTGATGTTTCTGAAGTGGGTTAGTATGATTGACTGATAGGGATCGTAATATTTGAAATGAGTGATCTGAACTATTAGGTCCGTCGACTCCAGATTGCGAGAACCGAAAAGGATCTCAATTCAATTAAGACACAGCTCAGTCCACAATAATGCCACAATGGTGCACGTTGCATATTCAAATTATATATGCAGCTCCACAAGATTTTCAGGTGATGTGTCCCACCCTATATGAAATTTGAGCATAGTCATGGTGCTAATCAATCGTTATAAAGTGTGTGTGTGTGTGTGTGTGTAGATGCATCGATCTGACACCATGTTCAAGTGTGCCCCAGCATGCGCATACAAAAGGAGCACTCCTTCTTTGGGCGATTAGGGTTGGAGGAAAATAAAGGATCTCAATTCTCTGTTTACTACTTTTACCCTAAAGTTCGGGCTTACAAGAGACGGACGTACGCCACTAGTGAGAGACAGAAACCGAGTCACCATGCACTAGCTATACCTTGAAGACTTTGAAATCATGTGGGAGGAATTCAAAACATAACACATAAAATCCAGAATAAACTCTTATAAATTTAAGTTATTTGGTTCCAACAAAGTTTAGATAGTAGCTCTTAATAATCACAAAAAGAAAAGTTTACATATTCGTGTCAAAGTGCAAATCATTTCTCCTTTCAATATAAAGGAATCAAATATTTTTCTTATATGAAGAAAAACGACCATATGTTGATAGTACATGCACTCTCTCATGAGTGAATGGATGTATTTCACATCTTATAAATAACATGTATTCATTGTATAAGTTTTATAACCATAACTGTTTAATTGCTCAATCATCCTTACAAAAAAATCAATTGAATTGGACACCATTTACACATCCAAATATATCAAATAAATGGACGGTTGATCATGAATATGTTACTTGGTACTCACATTGTAGATTGGTTCTATACATTTGGATTCATAAATAATTTCTAATTCAAATGATTTTTTGTAGAGACAATTTTTAAATGAAGATTAAAAAATTAATTTATTCCGATTATAAAAGTTATAAGGAGAGTCGCATGTGGAATATGTGCATTCCCGCAATAGGAACGCAATTGTTATCCATATATGTTTACGTGGATCATGTAACAAACAAATAGGGGAAGCGAAGGATCTCCTTAGACAATGACCATATATCTTTCCATCTTTGACTAACATGGTTTTAGTTTATTCTGCCTCCCACCAGAGAGTGCTGTCAAATACCCACTTGTCAAACAACTTTACGAGCCAAAGTTGACAAATAAAATGCTAAAGCAACTAATTAAATGCTCAAGCACAAAAGCAAATATGCACTACTATAAAACACCAATAAATGAATGTCCAGTAAATTAATGGGGTGTGTGGATCGATAAATGAATGTCCAGTAAATTAATGGAATGTGATATCCACACATCTCATTTTACTTCTCATATATTTTTTAAATTTTTGATTATTGGATCAGATGAATTGAATAAGATTAACAGATAAAAATTATCAAGAGATGTGTGAAAAGTAAAATAAGATGTGGCTAGCACACCTCTAAATTAATAACTTCGGTTTTTACTAAGTCAAAGACATTTTTGGGCCCAGAAACTCACTTTTTGCATTCCAAATGTCTTCTATATCTAAGAGGTGTAAGAAAGAGGCCGTATTTATATTTTTAGAAAACTAATGAAAATGGTTTGAAAACTTTGAGTTTTAATGACAATGACAAAATAAAGGGTAAAGTGAATAGTACTAGGATTGACTTTTTAGTGTAAAAATGTGGTTTTTCGTTAAAGTGAACAGTAACACGGGTTTTTTGTTAAAACTCTCATTATTTTTTTATGATACTTAAACATGTGTTAGACATGCAGAGATCTTTTGGATGAGAAAAACAATTCATTCTGCTAAAAAGGAACACCTAGCTATAGATATACCTCTCTTGATTAATAGGCGTGAGAAAGGGGCAAAGTAACTCAACTAGAAGGGCTATTTCAATAGTGGCATCTAACATGCATATACGAACTCAATTCATTCTTTCTGGATAAGAATGTAGAAACAAACGAAAATGTTTCTTGAATGAAAAAAAAAAAAAAACAATTGCAGGTTTCTTTTTCGTTTGGAACAAATAATATTTTTATTTTTTATTTATACCTTTGTTTTTCATTCCCGACTTGTGCAAATGTACTAAATAATAGTCTCGCTAAATAAATAAGATAATAATTCTTCAAATTCTTTTAAAACCTAGACGAACATATAAATTAGTAATTGACAAAATATATAAAAAAAAAATAACCACATAAATATTCATAATACATATTTATGATTTGTTTACTTTAAACTTATATTTTTTAATTCAACTCTTTCTCAAAATAAACTTCTATATATGTTTCAAGATAATGTCATGGTTGTTTGTTAAGGCTTATTTTAATTGTCTTTTCATTTACACTTTTACCCCTCTATGTTTGAAAAACGAGTTTCTACCTCCCTATTTTTCCCTTTCTCTCCCCTATTTTTTCTTCGGTACTTCTCTCTATTTCTCTCTCTCCCCTCCTTCGTCCTTCTCTCTCCTACTTCTTGTCCATATTTCTCCCCTCATCGTCTTGTTCGTATTGTTAGCTAGATTTATAAGTCTTTTATGAGAACAATTGGGATTTTTTTTTTTTTGGCTTTAATATTTTGTTAAGTACTTGATTTTTGAGGTTTTGGTGATTTTGATACATAAATTTTGAAATTGATCGTGTAGAAGTGCTGAAATTTTGAAATTGATATTACATAAGTGCTAGAGTTTTGAAACTGATCATGCAGAAGGTGCTGAAAGTTTTGAAATGGTCTTGTGAAAATGTTAAAATTTTGAAACTAATCTTGCAAAAGCGCTAAAAATGTTGAAGTTGATCGTACAAAAGTGTTGCAATTTTAAAACTGAACTTGTAGAAGTGTTGAAAATTTTGAAATTGATATTGCAAAACTGCTTAAAATTTTGAAACTAATTTTGCAAAAATGCTGAAAATTATCTCGCAAAAGTGCTAGAATTTTGAAATTGATCTTGCAAAAGATGCTAAAAAAATTTAAACTAATTTTGTAAAAGTACCGAAAATTTTGAAACTGATCTTGCAGAAGTGCATGAATTGTAAACTGATTTTGTAGAAGTACATAAATGAATTTATACGGATCTAAAATCAACTTGAAGTTGTTATAGGTGATATTAGTTTGTACTTTTGGAAGTTTTTATAGGTGATGTTAGTTTCTAATTTTGGCTTGGTTAAGTAACAAGTTTATTGAAAGCATAACTGAAAATTTAAAATTTTGATTTGCTGATTTTTTGGGTTAAATTTGTTGGGGTTTAATGAAACACACCCACAAGTTATTAGATAAGACCTCGTACCTAGATCTAACGTCGTATAACCCAATCGAGACAACGTAGAATAAGCTAAGTTTTTCTTAATATCTTCTTGAGCAAGAGCTAAAGTGGCTCCTAAAATGATGAGCCCATCAATAAAATTATTTAAACACACAAAATTAACACTCTAATACGGGTAAGTCCTACCAATTTACGCATTCCCCTGCCCTACTTGTATTAGAAAATGTGTCAATTTGTGTCTGAACAAATCATTAATTAACTCTTCGTACAAGCATAGCATGAAACAGCTCAAGATCAGTCCAACGACTTAAAAATAAAAAGTAAAATTTATAAATTACATCCATAAAAATCAAACTTTATTGCCAAAATGTGTACTGGAATTAGCAGCAGCTTATTATGAAGGGATCAAAGGACAAGGGGAGGGGGGGCTTTATTGAGCAATAGCATGCTTAGCACCATCCAAAGTGTTCTTGAGTAGCATTGCAACCGTCATTGGTCCGACGCCACCAGGAACAGGAGTTACCCATCCGGCTACCTTACATGCTTCCTGGAAATCTACATCTCCAACCAATCTATAGCCTGACTTTCTGCTCGGGTCGTCTATAGCATTTGTGCCAACATCAATGACAGCAGCACCCGGTTTTATCCAACTACCCTTGATCTGAAATTCAGCAAGGAATAGATTTCGTTGAGTCAACGCATACAATAATCGACACTAGGGCCAACGAAGACAAGGAAAGTACAAAATTGACACAATGCAGCTGCACTGGCAGATGTTGGTTATTCCATTGAAGCAACGATAGAGCCTAGTGAAAGCTTTGCATTGGCAGATGTTGGTTATTCCATTGAAGCAACGATAGAGCCTAGTGAAAGCTTATAAACATCTAATGAATTGTCTTGCAACTGCAAAGTGAAAGATGATGGAGTGTCCTTTTTCCTTCACTTGGGATGAATGGAACCAAACAACTAGTCGTATTCTTCTAACTAGAACAAAACTAAGTACTAGATTTTTCATGGAAAGCCAAGAAATATGAAATAAGATAACACCTGCATGTCATAAGACGATGTTACTGCATACCACGGATCTATAATCTATGAAGTGCCTACCATCATTGCCTGTCCTGCTGCAGCAATAATAATGTCCGCTTCACGAATGAAACTCTCTGGATCTGGTGTGCGGGAATGGACTACGGTAACAGTAGCATCTGCTTTCAAAAGCAGCAATGAAACCGGTAATCCAACAATGTTACTTCTGCCAACAACCACTGCCTTCTTCCCCTTTATGCTTATCCCACTCCGGGACAGAAGTTCAAGACAGCCCTGCGGAAAAAAAATAACATTATAAAACAAAGCTACAACTGTACATGAATGGCTTTCAAGATTTTATGTGAATATTGCCTGGACAATAAGGGTTCCTTGTTTGATCGAATACTCAAACAAACCAAACATACATGTGTGTGTGTCAGCATCTATCTGTGTTTGAATACATAACTCGAGTGTCTTGCCTTGGGAGTGCAAGGAAGGAACAAAGGTTCTCTGCCTTTCATTGCAAGCTTGCCGATGTTGAGAGGATGAAAGCCATCGACATCCTTCTCGATGCTGATTTCACTCAACACTTTCTCCTCATTAATATGGTTTGGCAATGGGAGCTGAACTAGTATACCTGTCAATAAAATTAGACCTACTTTCAGATTCCACCAAGCCTAAATCAAATATCTTCCTAAAAATTTGTCAACTCAAAAGTATAAATTGAGCAATCATCATTCATTCAACTAACCATGTACATCGGAAGTAGCATTCAATTCGTGAACTTTGGCAATGAGGTCATCCTGGGACACATTCTCGGGGAGGTCTATATCCACGGATTTAATCCCAACTTCAGCGCACGCCTTTCGCTTCATGCTCACATAGCTTTGGGAGTCCTTCCTGGTCCCTACTATCACTACCGCCAGTCCCGGGACCTAAACAATTTCCCAATTACAATGTCAAAATTCATCCACCAAACAACATTAAAAACCCAGCCACAGCAAAAGCAAACCTTGCAGTATTTCTGCGACAGATGGCGAACTTCCTCAGCAATCTCATTTCGGATGGTCTGAGCTATGGCTTTCCCATCGATTATCGCAGCCTTGTGATCAGATTGCGATGCCATTGATCAGCCACTCACTCAAACTCAATCCTCAAGATATGAAGGACGGGTCGGGCTGATTCGGAGCTCGAACCGCAGCGGGTTACTGTAATCCAGTAAAACCAACCATTTATTTTCTGTACCCATAAAAACCCTAAACTGGAATTACATTTTCTGAGACCAAAGCATCGAACTTTACAGTTCCTGCAAGTTTGCCCAACATGAAACTGAATCTTTTAAACACCAAGAAGCAGTAAAATCCTCTAAACCTTCCACAAAAAAATCCAAAACCGAATCTTTTGAACACCCAGAACAAGATAACAATGATGGGGATAGTACTCCACAGAATCAAATAACAAACGTAAAAAAATTAAAAAAATAAAAACAATCCAGAAATCTCAACAAAAAAAAGAAGGACCAGAAATACTCACCGCAAGCTTAGCGAAAGTGGAAGAAGCAGATGACGGGGAATCTCAAATACCAAACTAGGGTCACCAGCAACCAAATTGAGATAAACGACGCCGTTCGCAAGTCTTTTTGTTGTGGTTGGTGGGGGGTGTCGCGTTTGGTACGCGGGACGGGACGGAACAGAGTGGGACGAGGCGTTCCGTCCCGCGTTTGGTGCGCCTAAAATGAGTGGAACGCGCTGTTTCACGGAACAGATTTTGGATTATTTTTTGTTCCACACCCCCACCCTGGAACGGGTTGTTCCACGTCTGTGGGACAAAAATTTCCAATATTTTTAGACAAAAATGCCCTTGGTCTTTTTCAAAATTTACAACTTCAAAATCAGTGAACAAACCCTAAAAACAAAATCTCTTCTTCTCAGCCGTTTCTCTTCACCTCTGCATCCTTTTCCCCTTCGCAACCTTCCTGCTCATCTTCTTCTGTGCAGCCTCGCAACCTTCCTCCTCGTCCTCTTCCGTGTAGCAGCTCTGCGAACTTGGTGGTCCTCAGGTATCTCTCTCTCTCTCTCTCTCTCTCTCTCTCTCTCTCTCTCTCTCTCTCCCCTCTGTATTTTTGGGTAACTTGAATGTTTGAATTGGTGATCACAAAATCAAGATTTGTTTGTCAGTTACAGTATTAATAAGTGTCTGATTTCATTTGTAAACTATTTCTGTTTACAATAAATATGGATTGGTAATTATTGGATTTATGGATTCGTAGTTTATTTCCCAGCTGAATTAGATAATTTTGGTTTTGATTATTTATGTTGGTTGGTTTGCTTTAAGAAAATTGTTTTATTATTTAATTAGTAGTCGATTCTAATTTGGAGAAAATCTTGTGATAGGGTTATTTGGATGATACAATGAAAGTTGAGGTGATTTTAGGTTCTGGGTTTCTCTCAGATTTTAATATTTTTATGGGTTTGCGATTTGAATGGAGGATTTGCATTCTGGGTTTAGCTAAGATCAACAGAGAAGGAAAGGGGAGTTTATTAATTCAAATGTCGAATTGTCAGTTTCGAATGAAAAGGAAAAGGACAGGGTAAAGAATTGGTGTTGAGTGGGATCTTAACAACCCAGTAAAAAATATTACAAACAGGCATCTAGGGATTGACTATGCTTGGTTTTTTGTTCTGTCCTGTTTCTAATGACTTGGCCACTGACAATCATTTAGCAGTCAATGCATCTTTTTATTTCATTTTCTCCAGCAACCAAGAGAAGGGTATCGAGTAGTAGAGCAGTAGAGCAGGCTTTTATTAGCTGGCCTCTTTGCTATGGATTTTGGGTTGATTTTGGTTCGTTTATTAGTAGTATAGCAGGCTTTCTGCTATTATACATCTGCTTAGAGCAGTTGGTTGTTTGCTTTGAAGAATATTGATTCACTAAAACACCTAATTTGGTATATATCTCCCATTCAATTTGATTTGATGGAAATCTAATGCGCAGAAAAGTACGAGGAAAGAAGCAGTGAAGAATATAATCACTAACTTTTTCAGTTTAGGTTTATATTTTTACTCTTATCTCTGTTGGTTACTAAGTTAACTTTAATAGTATATAATTATCAATCTTGGTAATTTTGTCTTTTTGTGAAAGAACAGAGATTAGGCATTGTTCTTGATTTATAAAAACGTCCATAATGGAAAAGGGTACTGTTGGTTGAGTTTTAGTTTCGATGGCTGAAGTCCCATTTAGTATATTTACTGTTTAATCCATTAAATTTATAGATTTTGGAAATGTAATTTTATTTCTTATATTGCTTGATTTAGAGGAAATTTAAGGTTCTTTGGCATTCTGGAGTAATTCAATTTCTGAATAAAGCTGTTATTATGAATTTAGAAGGATGACATAAAGCTGGCTTATGTGGTTAAATATAATTTCATGACGTTTTAGTGCTAGGTTTAGATCAAATGTTTGGATTAGGCCTAATGAAGGGACCAATTCAGTGTTCAAGAGCTTGTAGATATAACAGAATTCGTAGAAATGTACTCTCATCTTTGAAAAACGATAGACGTGACCAATTTTTCTCTATAGGAGGATGACATAGGTATAGGGATGTCAAGATTTGGACTCTTTTCTTGTAAGGACAAAAACTCATATGCTCTATCTATGAACCACTGATATGATCTTCTTAATAAATATTGATTTGTAAACTGTGAAAGTTCGAGTTAGGTTTTTCTTTTTGTAACAACCAACAAACATCTGAAAACTGCCCAGTTAAGGTCCTCTTTTGTGTGGGTGAGTTTATTAGGGAATAGGATTTTCTTTCCTCTCTCTCAAGCCCTACTCTTGATTTTCGGAGTTTCTGTTTTACGTTTTTTTAATGGTTTATTGATAAAATATAAGGATTTTCCTTTGCAAAGAAATTGTCGGTGCATTTGAAATATAGTGAAAAGATTAGGTTGTGAAAGAGAAGACTACTAGGGAAGTACAGGAGTTATGGTGCTGAGTAGTCCTCAAAACAAGTGAAACCATTATTGTTGTTGTGCAAAAATATAAACTGTGTGAGTGCAGTTGTTTTAAAATTATTTGCGTGTGGTTTTTTATAGTTTTGCTTTTTTCCAGTTTGGATTAAAATGGATTTTGAATTTTTGAGAAGAAATTAAAAGGGTCGTTGGAATTTTGGAAACCTTTGTGTTTTTGGTGAACACGCAGACAATCTTGAAAATTTGTGTTAGAAGACTAATGTTTGTATATAAAAATTGCAGCCATGTGGTAAAGAACAATGGTTCATTCTAAATGTCAATGGACTAATCCATGTGTTGACTGTGTTGAAAGGCACAAATTTTTTTGACATGTTTGGGTTTGATCTCATGTGGATTATTGGAAAAACAAAATGGTATTGCTCTGACAGATTGTTGGTCGCTTACAGGTCTGAAGACTAATATTACGAATCGTGATTCTAAATCAGCCCAAGATCGTTATTTATCTGTGAGTTTTGCATGTTTATCAACTTATATGGTTTGGATCTTTTTTTTTTTTGTTGGATCGTTATTGTGCGTGTCTGATGCATTTTGTTTTCCAGATTCGGGAAACTGTCCCTTTCAGATTTTTGGAATTTCGATTCTGATTCTTGAAACTCTCTGTGCTAAAGTTAGTGAAAGATACCAATCTGATGGGTATTTGGACCACCTTGGATGACTCACAGAAGCCAGATTTCATTAAAGTGTTTATGGAGAGCCTTTGAGGTTTTAGTATTTGTGGTTTTAGTATGGGGAACTTTATCAACTTCTAAGTGTTTTAGTATTTGTGGTTTTAGTATGGGGAACTTTATCAACTTCTAAGTGTTTTCATTATTACTTTAGCAAGACATTATTTGTTTTTTAAGTCAGGACGAATGTTTGATTTCGGAAATTTCATGTTTAAGTTATGCATATTTCATTTTCTTTGTTTAAGTTCTAAATGTTTAAACCCTAAAATGTTTACGATATGCATGATCATTAAACTTATATATTTTTCAACATTTGTCATGTGCTCTTATGTGGTTTGCCTTGTTCCTGCAATGGGGAATATTTAGAGGGGTGTCCTTCTAAACAAGGCCAATTCTAATGTTTGTAGAACCTAAACTCCCTAAACAACAACCCACAATTGAAAGGACCAAAATTAGGGACTAAAAATTGAATTGGGGTGTGGGTTTTGCAATTTGCACAATAAAATTTGATGGATTTGTGGTGAAAATTCGAATGGAGGCGTAGAAAACGGGAAAAATTACAAATTTTAAAGGGGTTTGCATATGAAACACAATATATACCTATTAAAATTTGGACCAAGAAAACAAATAATGGATAATAGTGTTCAAATTTGAACAACTTAAAAAAAAAAAAAAAAAAAAAAAATAGTCATGTCCCGTTCCGCCCATAAAATTGTACCAAACAACAGCGGAACATGGGTATTTTAGTCATTTTAATCTTTTGGTTCCGTTCCGTCCATGTGCTACCAAACGCAGGACGGAACAACCGTCTTGTTCCATCCTGCACGTACCAAACATAACACAGAACATCTGTTCCGTCCCGTCTCGTCCCGTCTGCGTACCAAACGCTACCTAAGTTCCAAAATCACATAACGACGTCGTTTTAAAATTGCGCTTCGTTTTGTTTTATGAACCACTGAAACCGAACTGAACCAATAGATTTCGGTTTAATTCGATTTTTCAACTTCGGTTCAGTTTTTCTCGATTCAATTTTTTTCAACTTCAGTTCTTTTTTTTTGGTTTTTGATTTTTTGAACCTAATTCTTTGTGTATGTAAAACTTTTTTTTGACAAAAACAAAAAATTTCTTACATATAAGAAACAGAACAGTATCGATTATGATATCACGTATGACCATATATTTGATATTTTGGATAAGATACATTCATATGGTAATTATTTAATTACACATAAATCACCAATAATCTATCGTATTTGACATAGTTTATAACAAGTATTCAAAACCTAGGTGTGGCTCCAAGACCCCAAGAATATGAGAGTTCTAATGGGGTCTTCTGCATAGTTGTTCCATCTTCTTCTCCCATTTGGTTTGGAAACTAAGAGACCCCTATCATTATTATGACCTCCATGCCTAGCCATAACCACCATGGCGGCCTGATAAGCCTGACAGAGCGTTTCTCGGAAACCCCTCGTCGATTCGTCACACAGAGAACTCTCCCCACAGATGTTTTGGGGCATCATTCTTGATACTTTGATTGTAGTCTCTTTGTTTGTTTGGCCAAGAGGGTAAGATATTAGACTTGCTTATGGCCTTGCCTTGATTCTTATAGAAGAACAAAATGGTAGGAACATGCTGATGACATGAGGAAATGCTTGAATCCAATGCCATATTCTAGAGGAATGTGTGCTCATTGTCCATGTGTCTTATGCCAA